AAACATCCTTAAGAAAGTCATCAGTAAAACAGCAAAAAAGGGGGCTCAGGTTGAGAAAATTAGTCTTAAGAGTCCACAATCCTTTCCTTCCCAAAGGATTTATAGCTCTGATGCTTCAGGTTGCCAAAAGTCACCTACCCACATAAAGACAGCCCTAGATTTTATGAAAATATTAGAGTTTTCAAGGAGCTATAAGACTATCACCATCAGATTTCTTGATGGGGGTAAGTATATGCTTCTCTTTTATTTCATGAGCTGGCAGCTTTGACTTCTGAATCATTTCTGAGAGTTGGTTGTTGATATTCCAGTTCTCTTGACAGTTCAAGCTAAATGGCATTTAAACTACGTGAAGTTGAAGACGCCATTTAAATTCCAGTTCATTGTTTCTCTCTTAAAGCTATTTGGAATACACAGTATCCAAGCTTATTTCAGCTACTGAAACTAAATTCAAGCTCATTTCAGTCCCACTGTGAACATCATCACCTCTGAGAGAGACAAGCTTTTTCAACATTCAATTTTCTACAGATTTGAGTTCATATATATTTGCATGACTGCAAGTATAGGGTGGATACACTCATTAAATAGTAACATCTCTCTGATTTTGTTGAAGTGTTTTAGCAATAGCGGCCACTAAACTGTCGTCTCTGTTTTTACTACCTGTTTACTTTGAAGACATTTCAGTATAATAGCCTTTTCTGTACTGAATCTGAAAATGAAAAGGAGAAAAAGAGTATTAAAATTTGGACACATTTAGCACATTGAACTTATTAAAGGAACAAGCACCCCAGCATGCATGCTTTTGACTTACTTTGTTATTATTCTTTGAATCTCTCTTTTCTCTTCTTCATTTAATCTCTGAAGGATGGATTCCAGGAGAGAAAAATGAAAGTTAATGTATTGAGCCACCTGAAAATAAAACACACAAAAAGGAAAGCAGAATATGTATGTGAGAGGTGCCCAGTCAGGAGGAGGCAAAGACAGACTCAGGGTGGTGGTACTCATACATCACTGCTAATTTCTTCTGTATCTTTATCCATGAGGAAAATGCGGGCGTTCTTTTTGGAGGGTCCCTGCAGGAGCCTGTGCAGTAGTGGAATGTCTGTCTTCTTTAGCCGTCTCCTTTCTGCAAATGAAAACAATAACCAACTGTAGTCAAGAGTCCATACTAGGGGAAAAGAAGGTAATTTGGCTATTCATTTTCTTTCTTTAGCTCGCTTTGAAAGAAGACCTAAAAAAAATCCATGTATAATAGGAGGCACTCACTCAAAAGAGTTACA